TTAAATGCGATGAGGTCCAGTTTATCAGTCTCCCCTTTTATGGTAGTGCTTTTGCTGAGGTTTCAAAGATGAACACATGTTACCTTCTTACAGATTTATAGATTTACAATTTACATTAACTCTATGATCCTTTTTGAGTTAATTTTTGTAGTAAGAGCACCCTTTAAAATTATAATAGAAAATATAGACTAGTAAATATGTGAACCAGTAGCATAGTTGCTCATGATTATCAAGCCTCGGTGTCGTATGTAATTGTATGTGACATGACTTTTTATAAGGCTCACTGGCAATCCGATAAAAGACTGCAACCGTGTGTACACAACTGTTTAGACCAGCAAGTGACTTATTGCAACAATTATGATGTCACCGCTGGTGGAAAGTGTTCGGCTCTATTTTAACCTCACCCCACTGTGTACGCAATCATGGACGGAAGAGTGATGTGGCGCATGTGCCTTTTGAAGCAAGCAACAGTTCCATCCATCACTGGGGTCTTGCACCTTTACATGATGTGTCGTGGTTCTCATTTTTTCCCCAGACCCTGCCCTCCCTTCACCCCTTTCACCCTTCCCTATTTATAAAGACTTTGTTTCCATTTTTTCCTTTTTTCACATTTTTTTCTTTTCCCTTATTTCCTTTCCCCTCCCCTTCCCACTTCCCCTTTAGCCATTTTCTTCCTATTCACACTCTCAATGATACCATTTGAACCTTATTTACAATTTTAGTTTTTCAGACCAGAGAAATTATTTGGTATTGACTCGTGTGTCCTATTTATTTAACTTAAGAGTATAGCCTTAATATGCATTCATTTAGCTATAAATGTCTCTAGTTTCTCATTATTTATGGCTGAGTAGTACTTAATTTTATAGAAAAAAAAACACGTCTTCTTTATCCAGTCTCCAGTAGATGGGCATTTAGACTGTTTCCAAGTTTTAGCTATTACAAACTGTGCCACTATAAACATGGGTGTGCATATATCACTGTGGTCTGATTCTTCTAATTCTTTTAGAAAGACACCCAGCAGAGGGATGGCTGGGTGAAACAGGACCTCTAATCCTAGTTCTCTGAGGTATCTTCACATTGGTTCCCACAGTGGTTACACCTGTCAGCATTTGTCATTGGTTGATTTCTTGATAGCAGCCATTCTTACTGGGATAAGGTGGAATCTCATGTTGTTTTCATCTGCATCTCTCGAATGACCAGTGATGTTGAACACTTTTTCATATATTTATTTGCTGCTTTTACTTCTTTATCTGAGAAATGTTTGTTCATTTCAGATGTCCATTTTTGAATTGGGTCTTTATATTTGGGGGTCTGATATTTTTTGAGTTCTTTATATATTCTAGATAGTAGTCCTTTGTCTGAGGAACAGCTGGTAAAAACTTTTTCCTACATTGTTGGTTGTCTGTTAGCTCTGTTGGTGGTTTCTCTTGCACTGCAAAAACTTCAATACAATGAGATCCCAGGTTTTGATTCTTTGTGCAAAGAACCTGTTATTTTTAACCACACACATCTTTGCAATCTATCCTTCCCTTAACTCCATATCCAAGTTCACTTCATTCTTCAGAGTTGAACTAGGCACCCATTTCCTGCAGAAAACCTTCAGTGGAAATTGGAGTTCAGATGCTAGCATCACTTTGCAGTCTTGATCAGGGGCAGGCAGTACCACTCTCTGGCTCATCCCTTTCCTTGGAAACTCCTGCTTTGGTACCTATCTTTACCAGTCGACCCCACATCTCAGGGGGCCATTCTGAGGCTCATCTCTCTCCTACATCCACCACCTGTAATTACACCAAGAGAGCAGTGGGCCTCCCTCTCTGTCTCAGCCCATCTTCCCTCTGTCTCTCACGTCTTTTTATTTTGTTACCAGGGATCGAACTCAGGACCTTTCCCTTGTGAGGCAGGCAGCGGAACCACTGAGCTAAATCCCTGGGCCCTGTCTCTCACTTCTGTAAGTGAACACAGCCATTGTCTGCAATGCATCAGGCACTGACCGAGATGAGTTGGTGCTAAGGAACAGGTCCAGTCTTACCTCAACAGATAATCCCCACAACCTTTCATGCCCCTCTCCTCTTCCCATAATGCCACTCCTTATGTTTCTTTCTCAAAGTATGCTTCTTAAAAAGACTGTTGCACCCATAAAGTAAATAAAACGGTTATATGATGTCTAACTTTCCAAAACTGGTCTTATACAAAGTACAGTGTTACTGGCCACCTTCTGGCGCTTGTATTACATGTATCATCAAAATGCTTCCAAAGAGATCTTTGGTGATCGGCTGCCAATTTACAAGTGATCTCTCTCTCTAGTCAGAACTTAAAGGACAGGAGCCACACAGGGGCCAACAAGATCTGGGAACCACCTGTATACAAAGCCCTTATGTGTTCCTAGTTAAACAGGTCAATATTACTCTCCCCCTCAAACAAAAACTCTTTTAATGTCAGCTGTCAAAATTGTAATCTCACTGCCTGCTTTACTAACAGTAATAAAGATAAAGATGTGCTAATATTGTATAGGCCCCCATTTGTCATGCCTCCCAATAATGTTTCTTGCCCTTGGAGTCATGACTGCAAACTACAAGTACTAAAACACACACACACACACCACACACACAAATGGCATTTTTTTCTGCACCAGGAATCAAACTCAGGACCTTGCACTTGTCAGGCAGGCATGGTGTCACTGAGCTACATCCCCAGCCACAAACAGCATTTTTGAAGGTCTGTTAGACTACATCTTGAACCCAGACTCATTATAAAGATGCAAAACATGTTTTTAATTAAATTTCTTTTCTAGCACATGCATAAGAACTTGCAAATGTTAATGGAGCGCTGGATGATGTTTAGGCAGCTGTGTGCATTGTGTAATATTTAAATGTGGGTAAACATCCATCTCTAGAAACATCTATCATAAAGCTGTAAAGTATATTGGGGTAAACTCTCTCTAGAGTTGTGCAGAGACCTAGTGGAAAACCCGGTGACTCCCCATTTGTGTGCCCCCCAGGTTGTTGTTCAGCATTCCCTTCTCCCTAGACAGGGAAATGTCCCCAGTTCCACATCTTTCCTGTACCTGGTCCATCCCAATTCGGAATCTGTGTTGACTCGAGTAGAAAAGAATCAGAGAGGCAGAAGAATGCGGAGACACAGAATCGCGGAATTCAAAGATGGAAGCAGGCAGCCTTACGTCACCACCGTCGCCACGAAGGCATTTTTGCGTTGCCTCTCACTATCCGTCTATGTTCATTCTCTGCAATTTTACAATTTCAAGAATGTTATATGAGTGGTACTGTTTGTAACCTTCTGACTTTATATTTTTTGCACCCAGCAGAATGTCCGTGGCACACTCCAGATGGTGATCGTACCAGTGGTTCATTTATTGCATTGCCAAGGAACATCCGCGGCAGGGGTTCGTTCCTGTTTCTTTACCATTCACTTACAAGGGGCGCATGGTACCTTCAGCTTTTGGCTGCTACAAATAACGTAGCTACAAACAATTACATGTGTATTGCTGTGCAGAAAAACTCCATTTCTCTGGGCCACATGATGTAAATTTATCTTAGAGAATGAAAGAAAACAAGTTGCCGACTTCCAAAATGCAGTGATGGGACAGACATACGACATTCCCACTCCAAAAGAGACAGGCGCAAAGAGGTTTAGAGCCCCCAGGTACATTCGGAACACAAATCTGGAGAAAAACCTGCCTAGAATCCACAGCACAAAACGGGGTGCACGGAGGTGCAGGGCTTCACCCCAAGGCCTTGGGCAGCCCGGCCCCGCAGCTTTGCTGGACCTGCCCAGCTGCCTAGGTTAGGAGCCCATGGAAAGTATCGCTGGGGGACTTAGCCTTTCCTTCTTAAAGGACACTCTGGTTCCTTTCCTTCACTGTTAACTCCTTTCTGCTTCCACTGGCAACCTTCTTTAAATCTTTATCTTCATTTTCTTTCGTTTTTACATCTACTCTACCAGGTTCCTGTAATCTACCCGGGATTAGTCCTGAACTCCATTCAAATTCCTTATGCCTGGTCTGTTTTTCCTGTGCTTTTTCATAAGAGAATTTTTAAAAAACATTTAATTTGAAGACACAGTACTACTGTTTTATTCATTTTTGTAGTGTTTTTGTCTCCTTGACAGCGCTGGGGTCCAAGCCCAGAGCCTCGTGCCTCCATTCTGCCCTGCGTCACTCTGTCCTTCCTTCCCATCCCCTCCAGGCCTCCCTTCCTGTGGTGCCCGACACCATGAACACGCAGCTGCACTCTAACAACTGCGAGACATCAGCCTATGAGCAGGAGGACAGCGGCCTGTGGCCTATGAATAGCGAGTTCTGGGAAATCAGCCGCGTGCTGCAAGGTGGGAGTTTCGTCAGCTTTACCTGAGAATGACTCAGAATGACTCATAAGGTTTTATCACGCAAAGCTAGCAGTCCAAACCCTGGTTAACCACCTGGGAAAGGGCAGGCAGGCACTCTGACAAGCTGCTGGGGGACAGAAGTCATAAGCTCTTCTGGAATTTTAACGTGTTCACCTTATCAAGGAGCAGGTACATTGAAAATCAGTTTTAATCTTTTTTTGCATCATGACACCTGAAGAGTATAACTGAAGGCGATTTTCTTACAATACAGTTTCTCGGCAGAACCCTGTGACCCGATGGGTCTTAAATAAAATGTATAACCTCACAGAGCCACTGTTTTGATTTTGTTAGGAAATTGACTTCGGAATTAATGGAATCGGGCAGTAAACTGTACCACACACTCCTTACTAAGGCAGACTAGTGCTGCCCATAGGTACAGCATTTAAATCACCTGATAAACTATATAACGGGACAGCAGGACCATTTGAGGTCAGGCCCACTTTAGATATTGCTTTTATCCATTGCACCGAAGGTAAAGGTACGTAATGACTTATGGACAGTTTTTCTTAAGCTCATTAGAAAACATCCAAAGAATTTTATACAAGTTTCCAGAGGTAGCCTCTGTGATTCAAATGGGACCTCGCCCAGACTGTGTCAGTCATAACTTGCTGGCAGACTTTCTAGCTTAGAATGTTTTCTTGTTGCTGTGGGAACAGTCAGCTCCCTGGGCATTTGCTGAAGCCATTTGATGTCGCCCTGTGCCGGTGTGTTTTCCCCACAACTGTTGTTCTTCTCTCAGTAAGAAGCGTATTGGCGTCTGATCCTCGGTCCCTGGTATCCACTGCAGAATCTGAATCAAGCAGGCACAAGCAATATCTGGGGAAGGAAGAATGAGGCCCAAGAGGACGCCGGCTGGTTGGCTGCTGTGCCGGGATGGAATCCCTGGCCCCGCACATAGGACGCAAACGCTCTACCACTGAGCTGTATCCCCAGCCCAGGGGATAGGTTGCCACCTACCACGCAGGATGCTTCCTGTCTTCCTGGCGCTGGCCCGGAGCTAGGAACCTTCTGGCTCCCTTCCCGAGCACTAAGTGGAGGCCGACCCAACTGACTTCAAGGGGTCTACTGGCTTTCCTCAGATTCTACTCTTCCTTTAAGGTCCAGGAATGGTAAGAGCCATTCTAAGGCACAAACACGGAGCAAGTGATGGGGAAAAGAGAAAGGATAGCAAATCAAGAGAAGGCTCACAAGGAAGAAGAGGAAGGGAAAGAGCAGCAGAGACAGAGCATGGGAGCCGGGCTAGAGAAAACGGCAGAAGGGGAGAGGCGGGGAAGGTGAACATGAGACAGTCGCTGGCCTGAATCACAGACCGAGACTGACAGATGCAGGCAGGTGCAGAGTTGGGGAGGAGAGGAAGGGAGAAACCCCCTGGTGACGGGGCCCTGGGACACCCGGTGGCTCCCAAAGAGGTCCCTGCTCAGCTCCATTTCAAAGGCTGGTGATGGAGCTCGCGGATGTGCGCCCTCTGCCCCGAGGCCCCTTGCGGGCTGACCCAGCTGAGACACAAGAGAAATGAGGCTCCGCTCTGGAGTTACGTTTTACTGAGCCTTGGCTCACAGCCCAGACCTTGGAAGTGGGCCATCCTCGCCGAAGCAATGCAGCCTGCAGATGAAGAACAGCGCTGAGAATCTGGCTACGGGGACACAAAACAAAGGCAGTTTGGGATCCGCGCAGAACAAAAGCAGAAAATGCCATTCCCTTCCAATAGCTCAAAGCACTGCCTCTTAGGGTCAGTTCAGAAAGAGGTACGCTGCCTTACAAAGGAACTCTTGTGTGCCGTTGGTGGGAAGTAAATCGGTACAGCCATGGAGGAGAGATGTGCGGAGGTCCTTGGGAAACCAAAAATAGAATTTCCATGTGCTCAACTCCCCACTCCTGGGTACACAGCAAAGGAAGCCAAGGTCCAGAGAGAGGCCTGCACGCCCGTGTTTATGGTACATTAATTTACAACCACTGAGCTATGGAACCAGCCTCAACGCCTGTCAGACGGATGGGTAAAGAAAATGCAGCAAATCAAGAAGAATGAAATTCTGTCATCTGGGACACGGATAGTGGTACATTAATTTACAACCACTGAGCTATGGAACCAGCCTCAACGCCTGTCAGACGGATGGGTAAAGAAAATGCAGCAAATCAAGAAGAATGAAATTCTGTCATCTGGGAAACAAGGATAGGAACAGAGGACAGGATGGTACATTTTTAGTCATTTCCTGTCTCCTGTGTGGAAACTACATAGTTGATGTGAAAGTAGAACAGCGAGCAGTAGAGACCGGGAAGGCGCGGGTAACAAAAGTGAGGTTGGAGGGCCAGGGATTTAGGCTCAGTGGTCGTGCCTGCCTCAGAAGCACAATGTCCTGAGTTTGATCCCCAGTACCAAAAAAAGAGTGAGGCTGGACCTGACTAAGGCAAGCTGTGTGCATGCAAAGAAAGATCACACCGATCCCCTTAATAGTACAATCAATGTGCAGTAGTAAAAGAAAGGGACAGACGAAAAGAAAGAAAGCTCTCTTGCTTCTGTTTCACCTCCCGCATTGGGAAGATGGAAGGGCCCGCCTGAAATAGCGTTTTTAGTTTAAAGGTAGGACAGGAAATCAGCAGGCCTTCAGTCTAAACTAAGTTTAACAGCCTTTCCTTTTATCTTTCTTTTTCCTTTTCATAAAAGAGTCGTTCATCTCTGTCTCTCTCTCTCTCTCTCACACACACACACACACACACACACACACTCGTGTGTACTTTAACCGTCACTCATTCGCTGCATGCAAAACCCAGAGGACTTGGAGAAGCATCTTCCCGACTTCCATCCCCGCCGGGGCGAGTCCTTCCTCCCTGCCCGCGGGGAGCCTGCGGTCTGAACCAGGGGGCGTGGAAAGCCGCGACCCTCTCCTCTTACTGCTGCTCTGGGCGGAGAGGAAGATTCACTCCGCGTTAGCGGCCGCTGCCTGAGTTAGAGCTGCCCGCCAGCCCACGCTCCTGGAGGAAGCTGGGGCGTAGGAGGCGCTGGGTGCTTCGCCGCTGGCCAGGCCTCGGAGACAGATTCAGGCGTGCAGTGACGCGGTGTGTACAACTCCACATTGGCGTCTCGATTCTTTCTCGTGTCCGTTTTCATCCAATTTAAATGTGCAGCACACAGTCTTCTTGCCCTGCTGTTATACAAATCAAATCAGATCAATAAAGGCATTGTGACCTCCTCCTCTGCCAGGGAGCTGTTGAGCTGATTTTCAGGGGAATCACGGAAACACAAGAGTTTTCTCAATTCCCAATTTCCATTAAGCTGATTGCAAAATATAATTTAAATACAGACCAAGAAACTGGATGACAAAACGTTCAACTTTTCACTGTAAAAAGAGAGCCAAGAAAAAGCTATAGGAGAATTGCTCCAACCTGCAACCTCCTGCACTCTGATGTGGGGCCCTACTGGAGTCCTGGAGGTCTTGGGAGTTTGAGTCAAGTTTTTCCAGTGTCAGATTCACCCTCCAGTCTCCTTGCTCACCACAACTACAGGTTAACGCAAAATACTCTGCAGGTGCTAACTTCTCCCCATTGTGTGCTGCCTGCCACAATGTTGAGATGCCAGGAGCACAGCAGCCATTTTGTGACCATGAGAGAAAGACTGAGGGAAAAACAAATTGTGACCTGGAAATCCTGAATCACTGTCAGTAAGTGTTTCTAGATTCCTTATTCACTGAAAAAGAAAGTTAGTGTGAGCAATCATTTAAAGGCATTGTTGTATAATAGTTAACACTGCAGCTCTTGAGCTAGACTTCCCAGATTCAAATGCCAACTGGCTGTGGGCTGAAGCAAGCCCCTTTAATGGAGTGGATCTCTCCAGTTCTGAGGGTTTTTTTCTGGGTTTGAGCCATCCCAGACAGCATTTCTCCATTGGAAACACCACTCCGGACCACAAACCCCAGGCACTGGAACGCCACCTGCTAGGAAACTGGAAAACTGCCGCTTGTGGCAGGATTTTCAGAATCTTATCCTGAGGGGTAAGGTGCCGGGGAGGAAATGTCCTGAAGAGCCGGCCCGTCAGCCTCTTCCTACTAACAAAGAAAGCAAGATGGTGACGTATTCAGGCAAAACCTCAATAAGGAGACCTTGGGTTTTGTCACTCTACTGGACAGCTTCCTGTGCCTGGGATAAAGTCCTGACTTACACTACTGAAAAGAGGAAGGGTTTACTTTGGCTCACGGCGTCAGAGGTTCCATCCATGGTCATCGGGCACTGAGGTAAGGAGCATTACTCACCTCAGGGCTCAGGGAAAGCCTGAAGGAAGGGGCTAGGGACCTGACACATCCTGAGGAGGTCACAGACCCATTATTATAGAGAGATGAGCGAGATAGAAATATTACAGGCATCAGACAGGGCCAGGTCCTTGAAGAGGTCAGGACAAGGGTGAAACACACCACAGCTGCATCAGAGACATCGGCTGAAAACTGGGCCTCAAGATAAAGACAAGATGTCCAGACCTGCACACTTCCTGAGAGAACAAACCCTGGGCCTAGTAAAGTCTAGACAGACGTCAGCCACCCAGTGGGTGACCAGAGACCTCTGGACCCACCGCTTCCTGGGAGAATCTTTGCTCTTCCCATCCACCTGTTACGTGACTTGTTTCCCAATCGGACACCATCGCCTGAGAGACGACACCTGTAACCTTACTGGATGCTCACAGCTGTGGCCCACACTGTACCCACGTGGGTTTCACCCTATAGAAATCCTCTGAAAAGTGGCTCCCGGCTCCCCACTTGGGTCCCCTCCTACCCCTCAGGAGCTTTCCTATCAATAAATATCTTCCTACTCTTAACCTCCCTTGCTCCTAGGACTCCTGCTTTGATTTCTAGAGAACAAGAACTCAGTGCCTTACACAGCTAAATTGTTGTGTTTCCCACGCCATAGCCTCCTGTCTCAGCCTCCCAAGTGCTGGGATTACAGGCATGCTTTACCACGCCTGGCAGGAAAAGACTTCTTAATGGGGTATTAGAAGTGTTGATCATAAAGTAAAAGATAGATAATCAAACTGCATTCAAAGTGAGCAAGTTTGCTCTTCACAAGGTTCTATTAAGCTTGGCGGGGTGGCACAAGCCTGTAATCCCAATGCTCTGAGAGGCTGAGACAGGAGGATCACAGATTCAAACCCAGGCTGGGCAACAAAGCAAGATCATATCTCAAAACAAAAAATGTAAAAAGAGGCTGGGAATGTAGCTCAGCACAGAGGCCTAGGTTCAATCCCTAGTAACACACACACACACACACACACACACACACACCACAAAGGTACCATTGAAAAAATGAAAGGGGATCTGGGAGTGTAGCTCATTGTCTGAGCACTGGCCTTGGGGTCAATCCCCAGCATGAGTGGGGGGAGGGGGAGGAGGAGGAGGAGGAGAGGATAGGACAAGAGGAAAGAAAGGGAAGGCAAGCTAAGGAGATGAGAATAAATACTTTCACTTCATGCAGTTCTTATAAACAATGAAAGATTCAATCCAAAATGTCAAAAAGTCCTCCTAACAGTAAGAAAAAATTTCTTGATTGAAAAATGGGCCAAGCGATCCAAACAAGGATGCCCAGCAGGCATAAGCCTCGACTGCAGGGAGAAAGATGGCCAAACCCAAAGCAGGGACGGTGTGGAACACAGGCAGCGGCCCACAGCTCACGGCCCTGGAAAGTGTCCACCACCCTTTCTGGCGTGCGAACAAGCAGCTGTGGGGCCAGGCTGGTGACTTCTCTGTCCGAGTCTCCAGCGCTGTAGTCTTCCTCCTCCCGGTGAACACCACACAACTCCCGTAGAAATGGGCATTTCTGTACAGGTAAGAATTTCCCCTAGCAGCAGGTCATTTTTGTTTCCCGTGTCTTCAGTTTCTCAAAATAATCAGCTCAAAACCATCCTATGACCAGGAGGCACATTTGGGGCGCTGTGCTCTGCTCTCCTGAAACAGCGACAGAAAACTGCCTTTCAACAGGAAGAGCCCGGGAGGGGGCTCTGGGGGTCCCAGAAACACCCTAATTCCAGGTCTAGGCGATGGTACAAAGAGCTCATTACTACCTTATTTGTTGAATCAGATTTCGGTCTATGTGTTTCACCCCAACCTAACAAGGAAAATAACACAGGTTCTCAGAGACAGCCACTCACCGTCCCTCACTGTCCCCAGGAGGAGGTGTCCCAAGGTCTCCTGCATTACCGAAGCTTCTGGGTAAGTGAAAGGACCCCAGGTCTCTCAACGCCTCTGGGAGGCTCTTGGAGGGGTGATCTCCAGAGGCAGGGCCTAGCGGGAAGCAGTTCCTCAAAGGAAGGGGCCCTGGAGTGGGTACTGGGATCCCAGCTGCTGCCTGTCTCCTTTTTACTTCTCAGCAGCCATGAGGTTAACAGCCTTTGCTTCCACAGGCAGCTCGCACCATGTACCCTCCCACCACAGGCTCGAGGTGGTGGGGCCAACCACCCATAGACTGAGATCGCGGAAACTATGACCTGCACCTTTACTCTTTTTGAGTTGATTATCTCAGGTATGCGGAAGCAGGACTAGAAAGCCAACAAGCCTCCCTTCAGTGTCAGCAGCAAATAACTACGTTGGGAGATCTGAAGTGTTCTCTTTCCAGCTGTGACAGGCGAACCGAGATTAACGGTGTGCCTAACAGCGCCTGCCACACACCCATGCTAATTCCAATGCTGAACCTGAGACCTGGTGGTTTCTTTCTGCTTGGGGATTCCATAGGCAGGCAATCAAGAGATCAGCTCCAGTTTACCAAAAGGAGATGCCTCTTGTCACACTAAGTAGTAAGTGAGATGTTTTATGTCTCAATGACTCCCGAACTTTGATTTCCAAAAACCTTGTTCTGTAAAAATTACCTGGCTTGTGCACATTCCTTGTAGAAGATACCAAGTTGAAGTATGCAGAAAGAGGTGATTTGCAGCTGTTGTCTGCTGCTTGGTCTGCGGAATTTGGTTCCTGAGCTCGGACTGGGAGGGTAAGGCATGGAATCACCGGACAGACCCCGGGAAGGTTTCTGGAATGCTTCTGCTTTATTTAGGAAATGCACAGGTTTATACAGGGACAACCATGGGGGCAGAGCATGGGAGGAGCATTTATCTTATTGGCTAGACATAAGGAGGAGTGATTCTTCTTAGGGGAGGCGGAGTCACGGACTAGGGGCGGAGGTGTAGCCTGTTAGACTCAGCCTCTACACACTCAGGTGAGTTAGCTCAGCCTCAGAGAGGTCTTTGAGTTTGCTTAGAAGACAGGAGTGCGGTGCACCTGGCCCAGCCAGGCCTGAACTTCTCACACACACACATCAACCAGAAGAAGGGTATAGAAGAAAATCTAGAAAATGTTCGGCCGCTGTCACTTTCCCTATCGGGATTTAACACATCAGCTACACCGGTAATTATAAAGGGGTTCTCTGGGCCAGCACGCTGTTTCTGGGGATTTACTGAAAAAATTGTAAATCAAGACTAAGGAGAGCAGGGTGGCTCTTTTCGTCTGCAGCCTAGATGCCAGTGGGGTGCTCTCCCAAGTGGCCTTGCAGAAGGGCTCATGAACCCCACTGCCACCATGTGTGTTGGTTACATACGCACTTGGGTGTGCAGAATCAGAACACTCATCTTGTTGTCCACCACAGTAAAAAGTCAGGAGAGGCCAAATGCACACTTTTTTAAATTTTTTTTTTTTTGGTAGCAGGGATCAAACTCGGGCCCTTGCGCTTGCAAAGCAGGCCCCGGCCCCACAGTCACTTTTACAGGTAGAAAGTGTTCACTCTGTAACACTGTAGGGTGAGGGGAAGAAGAGCAGGGTGCTATTCTTCCATCCCAGGGCTTTGATTGAACAGAACACAAAGGTCAGAAGCATCACTGAAAAAGCCGTGCTAGAGTTCTGAGATTGCAGGTGATTGATGTTTTTGTTGTTGACACTTTCCGTCGTTCTTTCGTATTGCTATTAGAGTTACGGCAACAAAAAGGAATCATTTTTTATTTTATCCCAACTTTTTTTGGTCCATGCTGCGTACGTAATGGTCGCACTCTGGGGAGTTGCTGCATGTACACAACACATCATGATTCTTTGTCCCCTTCCCCTCCCACCCTCCCTGCTCCCTCCAACTCTTGCTCCCCTTCCCATGGGAAAAAGACCTTTCGAAGTCTCATTCTCCGTCCTCTGTTTGCTCTTTATCTATGTTTCGGGTTTCTCGCATAAGAGAAACCATGCAATATTTGTGTCTGTCTCGTTCCACTTAACATCATGGCTTGCCAGTGCGTCTGTTTTCCTACAAGTTCACTGCATTATAGAGAACCCTCGCCAGGAGCGTCCCGTCTGTGAAGCAGCTCAGTGGCTTCTACTCCTGCACAGCAGCACGGAGTATCACCACACCAGCATCACATGCAGTGAGGGGTCCCTGTCCCCTGTGAAGCTTTTTGAAGAAAGAGCCAGGAGGAGTGAGCTTCTGGTCATCGTACTCTTGGTTGTTTAATTCCAGAGCATTAGCTCCTTGTTCCGGATTTGGGGTAAGGCATCTGTTTATCTTGGCTTCACCGGCTCTGTTTTCGTTGTACAGGAGAAGCAGGGACCGACTCATCTACAGGACCTGCGTAGAAAAGCGTGTGCTTTTCCTGCCTGCAGCAGAGCCAGCAAAGTCTCTTCAAAGCACTCTAGTCCCGAAGGAAAAAAACCCGTCTGCAATGTACCTTGCATGCTCAGACCGCATCACAGACTGGGGAGGGAGAGGGTCACGGCAGGCCCCCACCGGCGGAGGCACTGTCTTAACTACAGGTCATTTCTTGGCCCTCTCGGCAGGGAAACGGAGGCCAGAGAGGTTTCCAAGGCCCTGTGCAGAGGCGCTTCCTACTTCCTCTTTCTGTGTAATGGCCTGGCCTTGTTTTCTCTGCACTGTGCCGAGGCTAATGGCGTGATTACCTTGGGGAAATTAGGGCCATAATGCGGAGATGGGGAACTAATTGGCCAATATGTGAGCTAAATGCCTACTGCCAGCACCTTGCTAACAGCAGGAAGCAGGACCACAAATCAAAAGAACAAAGTGCAGGGATCTTGGGCTGCTTTTAAAACTAAAGTCTGAAGGGAAACAGTGGTGTCTTCATGGGCAGCATTCAGCTATTTTTCATCTAAAGTATTTGTCTTTCAGAAGATAACTTCAGTTGAGGCCTAAGCACCTGAAGACTTAGGTACACCTGGTGAAAACAGATTCGGTGGGTATGGGCTGGGCCACTCTGTCCCTCACTGTGCAAGGCCACACCTGGAAGGCGGACTCACAACTGAGCTAGGTCCACCGTGGGAGCTCAAAACTGGTCACCAAGCTCTCACAGTGGTGTGTGGCAGTGGTCCCAGGTACTCCTGGGAAGGTTGAGGCAGGAGGATCACTCGAGCTCAGGAGTTCAAAAACAACACAATTGAAATACTGTCTCAGGGTCAGTGATTTAGCTCAGTGGTTCCACCGCCTGCCTCACAAGCGAAAGGACCTGAGTTCGATCCCCAGTACGCCCCCCAAAAACAAACAAACAAACAAAAGAGATTCTGTCTCAAGAAAAAAAAAATAGTTTCTACACTAAACTGACCAAAACTTTCGAGAGTCTATGTAATATCATGTCTTATGTCCTAGCAAAAGAGGACTTTGACTCAGGCTTGGAGATTTCAGTCCATAGTCCCTCGGCCCTGGTGCCCAGTGGCAAGTCCACGGCAGAGCAAAACCATTTACCTGACAGCTGGGAAGGAACAGGTGTGCATCAGGGGGAGTGGGGGTCCCACAGCCCATCGAGGGCACCCACCTGGTGACCAGAACGCTTGGCCTTTGCTCTTCTGTGTCAGCCCTGTCCCCGGGGTCATCAAGCTGGGACTGAGGCTTCTAACGTGGGGTTTCGGGGCTCAGTTAAGATCCAACTACAGCATTATGGAAAAGAAATAAAAAACAGAATATGCTTAATAGAAAAAAGAAGAGAGCCTCCAGGAAAGGTACTGAAGGTAGCCAAGGGAGTCTACAAGGGCGACAAGAACCACTGAGCCCATGGGCAGGCCGGCAGGGCTGTGTAAGTGCCAAGGTTGGCTGGCGTGCAGAGCACCCTCCGGTCATAAGGACCATGCACCCCATTACCGTGCACCCTTGGTGCCTTCCTCATGTGAGCAGCCCGTCAGGCAGGGATCTGCCACGCTGTCTCTTTAACCCCGCTCAGGTGCTCCCCAGGAGCCCAGCTGTTTTTTTTTCCCGCTAAAGAACTGCAGGTTTCTTTTCTTCTAACTCCAGGCCTCAAGAACCATCCTTTTGGCAATGCAAGAAAAGAAGGTCAGGTGGAGAGGCTCTTATGCCTGCCTTCTCTTTGACTGTCTTTTCAAAGGGAGGACACAAACAGGCAGAATGAAATGGGTCTGAGGAGAAAGTGGAAGATTTCTCCACAGAGCCCTTTCACTCCCTTTGATGGAATAGGCTTCAAACGGCTTCCTAAAATAGGAGCAGTCTGTGCCATATCTGGAATTTGTGCATTAAGGGGCTGATTTTAAAATTCCATCACCACATGAAAATGTGAGCAGAAAGAAATCTGTCTTCTTTGCCAGCACCCGAGACTGGGTGCTTTCATGCACCCTGGAAGGGCATCAATTTATTTCTGAAACATCAGGGGTGGCGCAATCCACAGCAAAGCACTGCAGCACAGATTAGTGGAGAACGGGCTGTGTGGGCTGCGTGTAGTTTGTTTCCCCTGGAAAGTGCAGACATGGACCACACTCTGTGCTCAGAGCGGCTCGACTGTCCCATCCACCTCAGCTGACGTAGACCCGGCAACACGTGAGACCCTTTAGGGCCTGCAGACTCCCGGCAACAGCAAAGACATAAGATGCTGGGGACAGGACGGGCCGTGTGGAGTGGGGATGAGAGTTGGAGCCAGCAGTCCCTTCTCCTTCCTGCCTCTGCCTGAGGGTCACCCTGTAAGACTGGCGGGGCTAACTCGGTGCTGTAGGGGGAGGTGACCCCAGCCTGCCCTTCCCCAGCCTGTCCGCAGTGATCTCTGCCATCTCATTCATGCCTCGATTGCCTGCACATTTTCTTCACATCCTTTCCTGCTTTCTATTTTATTGAAAATTTTTCTTTGTTCCCGTAGTATTCTGTGTGGTCTGGAAACTACACGTTCTACTTACGTTCTTGGACAAGCCATGTTTAAAGGCTTAACGATGAATATTTAACACTGAAAATTCGTAAGTCTCCCTGTTCTCCATCCTGAAGAATATAGAACCCTCAGAGTTTGTCCACTGTAAATTATTTTCTCCTGTGTTTGTTTCCCGGTGCCTCAGATCGACCGCCTTTGTGTAGACCACCCAGAGCAGTAATTAATCTTATTTACAATTAACACTAGTTGGGATTTGCCAGGGAGGTCACGGAGTGCTTGTTTCACTTGTGTCTGCATCTCGCTCTTTATAGTTGGGTTAACTTCTCTCTGCCGAAGTTTGACTGATAGTTATTTCTTATGCTCCAGGGAGGACCTGCAAGCCACGTCGGCCCTTGCAAATCCCTGGGAGAGCCTGGAAATGTCTTCTGCACTCAGAAGTTAGTTTGCCACATTTTATTCAGGAGTCTCTGGTCCTCATTGTCCTTGTGGGGGCCACCAGCTGCCGTCCTACTCCCTTTCCCCCATCCGTCATTTACCTGATTGGCCTTTAAGAACGGGGGGCAGGGACAAGAGGAAAAAATGAGAACCAAGATCATGTAGAGGTACAAGATCCCCACAATGAATCTAACGGTACCGTATCCCTAAAATGTACCAATAAACTCAATTAAAGCTGAAAAAAAAATTTCTCTTTGAAGGTCTGAAAACACTCCAATATACCTAGATGTACATTTGTTTTCATTTATTCTGCACAGGGCTAATAGGTCTCCAACAGTCACAGCACTGTTGAGTTCTTTTTGAATCTTTCTCGGTAAGTGGCCTCTACTCTCTGCCTCCAAGTCCTCTTTTAGGTTTTAAATCTGGGCCTTGGGATGTAACTTCTCCCATTTGTGTTGCCTGCTTACT